GTCACAGGGCCCTTCCCCTACGCCCTTTACTGCAGCACCCGCTCAGTCATACATGGATCCCTACTCCCAGGGCTCCTACAGTGGATCTCAGAATGCCCCCTACACAAATCCTCCATCATACACGTCTGCCACTCACTCGCCATATGCATCAGGTACAGCCCCGTATCCTCCACCCCAGGTTTCCTACTCTGGTTCCAGCCAACCCGTTGTGACGGCTGCGGACATGCAACACCCCCAATCGTACACATATGCCCCCACGGGCTATGGTTACGACAATGGCCGAAGCAATGCTCCCCGATACCCGGGACCTGGATATGATGCTGAACCGGAGTACTCTACCGTAACTTCCGGGATGTCCTATCCTACCACTACTGCCCCGGATCCCCGGATAGGAATGGAGCCCAGATACACTCCAGAGTATGAGCGCAGGCCACAAGCAACCAGAGACAACCCCCATCGTCGGCGGTAGACAAGAATGACGGCCCCAAGGGTTTTCCTGCATTCATGATTTCTCTCTCTCTCTCTCTCTCTCTCTCTCCATCCATATTGTGGCCCACTTGATGCTTTATTCCTGGAATATTTCCAAAATACTCCTCGGAATAATGTTGATGTCTGTGATAATCTCCTGGACAATCTTTACGCCTTCTTTCCTCTCTCGGCCACAATTCTCAGATTCCCAATTTGCCTCCAGTCCAGGAACTCCCGACTAAGCCAGAGATGTTCTATTTTTCACATCCCACTTCAAATGGCCCAGTCAGGGGGACTTTCCACTTCCCATTGGACATGAATCCCACTTCTTTTTTACCCTTGGACTTCCATTGGAATTGAACCCAATTGCTCTGTGGCAAGAGCTTGGACTTCCCGTGGACATGCGTCTTTATTTTGATTTCTCTCCCATGCTTTTGTGCAACTGGCCAGCCAGGAGTATGAGTGATGTGCTTGATTGAGTTTACGAAAAGGTGGTCCGGACTTGAGCGTTTTGTTTGTTTCTCTGATCTCACGGATTCCGGGAATACTCACCCCACAATAATGCGATTTCTTCGTTGGTTTTTAACGGTGTACAGGATTTATGTGTTCTTAGCAACTTCTTCTTCTTCTTTTTGTTTCATTTTTCCCTTGACAGGAGGGGAGTCATCGTGTTCTTTTTTTTTTTTTTTTTTTTTTTGCTTTGGTTTGCGAGAGCGTTATGCTTCGATAAACTAAGGCTGGTGACCTACATGTAGATATGAGCATTTGCGGCGTTGGTCCGTCTTTTGTGATTGACGTTTTGATGTGCAAGATCATGGATTGACTCCATGGTCCTAATGAATCTCTTACTCTGCATAATTTCTTACCTTGGATGAATCAAGATATCATTTCTAAATTGCTTACTTTTCTTGACCCGAGGCTAGCTTCGGAGTATGATGCAAATTCTGTAATTGATCGGGTGTTACAAGTAGTACTGCTAGTACTGCTAGTAATGTTAGTTAATATGGCGAGCAGGCTGACTCCACCGTGGGAAGCCCATCTCGCAAGAATGCAATTATTCCTGACATAGCCAAGATACTTGAAACATAGAAAAGCGACTTGATGTCGATTATATGATTGCACAAAACATAGTACATGCACTGTAGCGCCGGTCTTGACATTCGGCGTATGCGCAACAAACATTGGTATCAAAGCATTTTGATGGCCAGGAGAAGTTGCCCCAAAACAAGTCTTTTCGATTGCCCACACTGATGCGATGAGACTTGTTCATCAGTCCAGTGGCACAGCCAACTCATCTCCTGCCATCCGCTGAATTTATTCCTCCCAGGCTCGGACAATACACGAAATCCTCTCTAACTTCCGATCACTTGACATTTTCGTGGTTCGGAACCCGTTTATTCGTCATCGTAGCCCTTGGGAACAACCCGCGGACCCTGCGGAACTGTACGTAGTGAAGATTTTGGTCAGACTGAGATTACTTGGAAATAGACTTGATGCTTATGCACCGATTTGTAGGAATTGGATGGGTTCATACTAGGATATGTGAGAGGAATGGGCTCGGGGTCGACGTCACCGAGGGCGCGGCGGATGGGGGGGATAGTGGCCAGCGAAACGGGACCCATGAAGCCGATGGCAATAGCAGCAAGGATAGCTGGCTTCTCGTGCGCAGCCCAGCGGATGTAGCGGAGGGGGGTCGACCAGAACTGAGGGGTAGACATGGCTGTAGGAAGAGGTCGTTGACGACCGGGGTTTTTTTGGGATAAAGGTGGGAGGTCAATGCCTGAGTAATAGAATAAAACTGTTCAAGCGCGTGCGAATGAACAGATACACTAGTCCCACTTAGTGGTTGTTGAGTGGCAGGAGAACAAGAGAAGCAAAATTGAAGCCGGGACGAGGTGAAGTCGAAGTTCGGAGATGCGGACCCAGCGCTCCCAGGTCTTGGCACTCGCCCATTAAACACGTCGCCCTTTCTGGCTATCTATACAACTTGGATCTTCAACCACCTTCCTTTTACTTACTTCTTTTTGATACCTTCCGCTCCGCTGTGCGGAATTTGTTCAAAATGAGGTGGTGTCTTGCGTTGCTTATTTGTTGCTTCTTGGCTGTGGTAAATGCGCTGAGTAGCTCCGGCAGTCGCCTGTTGGCCATTCTGGAAGACACAGAACAGAAGGACCTGTACTCCACGCTGTGGGCAGATCTAGAGGGTAATTTGCTCTACCTCCATTTAAAGATAACTTGCTAATTTTGGGATTTCAGCACGAGGATACGATGTCTCAATCGAATCTCCCAAGAGTGAACAGCTTGCCCTGTTCAAGCATGGCGAAAGAGCTTACGACCACCTTCTGATCCTCCCTCCCAAGTCCAAAGGTGGGCAACTCCGGTTTAATTGGTACAATGTCTAGTCAATTGACCCAAGAATACAGGCCTCGGCCCCTCCTTGACCCCCAAACACATCCTCGACTTTATGAACAAGGATGGCAACATCCTCCTCGCCCTTTCTGGCAAGGCTGCCACCTCCAGCGCCATCAGCTCCCTTCTCCTTGAACTCGATATTCACCTCTCCACCGATCGCTCACAAGTTGTTGTCGACCACTTCAACTACGACACCATCTCGGCCGCTGAGAAGCATGACGTCCTTGTCCTCCAGCGCCCTGCGCCCCTCCGTCCTGACGTCAAGGCCTTCTTTGACGGTGAAGGTGTTCTTGCCCTCCCCCGAGTTGCTCCCCAGACTCTCGGTGGTGACAGCGCTCTCCTCTCTCCGATTCTCAAGGCCCCTGCCACTGCCTACAGCTACAACCCCAAGGAGGGCATGCCCGCGGCGGAGGATATCCTGGCTACCGGGTCGCAGCTGAACATCGTTTCCGCTATGCAGGCACGCAACTCTGCCCGCTTCACTGTTCTCGGATCAGTGGAGTCGTTGGAGGACAAGTGGTTCTCAGCCTCTGTCAAGACGCCCAGCGGCAAGAAGACCTCCACCGTGAACCGCGAGTTCGCTAAGCAGTTGACTGCTTGGACTTTCAAGGAGACCGGTGTCCTGAAGGTCGACAAGGTCGAGCATCGTCTTGCCACTGAGGGCGCAGAGTTGAACCCCTCGATCTACCGGATCAAGAACGAGACTGTATGTGAAACAACGATATATTATCATTTTCTTCCAAACTAACCATAAACCTTTATTTGCAGATCTACAGCATTGAGGTTTCTGAGTATGTCTACGACAAGTGGGTTCCCTTCGAAGTTCCCGCCGGCGATGCTCTCCAGCTCGAGTTCACCATGCTCTCGCCTTTCCACCGCCTGAACCTCGAGCCCACCAGCCGTACCGATACCAGCACTGTGTTCAGCACCCAGTTCGTGACCCCCGATCAGCACGGTATCTTCTCCTTCCGCGTCAACTACAAGCGTCCCTTCTTCACCAACATCGAGGAGAAGCACGAGGTGACTAACCGCCACTTCGCCCACGACGAGTACCCGCGCAGCTGGGCTATTACTGGCGGCTGGGTATGGATTGCCGGTCTTTGGTCGGTGATTGGAGGATTTTTGGCTTTCGTCATTGTCTGGCTCTACTCTGCCCCTGTGGCTGATAAGCTTAAGAAGACTCAGTAGATTTAGATTTATGTTTATCTCTGTATGAATTGTGCTATCCGTCCATGATTTTCAATTTTCTTGCATGATCTTGATCTCCCGAATGAACACATTAGGTCCTGAAGATGACCAATTCTCAATGATATGATACAAGAATAGTCGGCTCGTTTATGCGGCGTCTATTTTGGTGGTCTTCTCAGGTGCTCTTTTTAGATGTTCCCCTTATTGGTGGAAACTACTTAAAACGTATAATCCAGCTTTTCCATGTATATGGCATTTGATTCTACCGTGCACTTGGGTCGATTATACCCTGGAGAAACCCGAATAATGGCTCAGCCCGCCAACACTCTTGGGTGACTTGCCCCGGGTTCGATGAACTGAAACTGGAAATGGGGAACGTAGGATTATCCGCATTGGTATTGGCTGTTGATTTCCCACTAGGCGAACATGGACATTATTTGATTTCAGGATGATATGTTTGATCGATAGTTGGGAGCCTACAGCTGTCCAGCTCTGCGTGTAGAGTCTGGGCTATATCAACCCCAGTGGTGATGAAAACGAGACTGAAGCGGCAGATGTTCGGGACAACAACGCTACATTAAAGGCAATTGTCTTGGCGTAAAAGAGGACAGGAGTCTGCTAAGACATGAATCAACTGGTGAAATTTATTACAGTGGGTTTCGCATTCCTCAATTGAAGCCGGAGATGACTGCCGTTGGTCCCAACATCCCCACTGTGGGACATTTAGTCCATCCTAGATTGGTCTAACAATGGATACTAGCACCTCTCGGACTGCGCAAAGCGGCAGCAGTGCACCTCGCTCCTGAGTGTGGCTTTAATGGTAGGGGAGAACTAGGCATTCATTACTCCGTGTTCTCAATTCTCATATCTTCGGTTCCTTCGAATGGTTGCCCTCCTGTATATACTCAGTAATGCAATTTGATCCCCTGGAAATGGATAAACCAACTTTCGTCTTCTCGCTCGGTGCTTGGATTACTCCCGTCGTTTTCGATGCCGTGCGTGGCCGTCTGAATACCCTCGGTTATCCTTCCGAGTGCCCTGCGCACCCCTCCATCGGCGCGGAGCCCCCTTCCCTAACATTGGATGACGATGTTTCCTCTCTGCGTGGAGTATTGACAACTCTAGCAGACGAGGGAAAGGACATTGTTCTTGTGGCACACTCGTACGGGGGGTGTCGTAGCCTCCACAGCTAGCGAGGGGCTGGCGAAGCATGTTCGCCCGGAGAGCGGGAAGCTTGGAGGCATTGTGAAGGTGGTCTATATGGCTGCCTTTGCGCTAGACAAAGGACAGAGCTTGCTGGGAATGCTGGGAGGAGTCTATTTACCCTGGATGAAGGTCGAGGTTGGTCCATCCAGCATCATATGATCGGTATCATATGATCGGTATCATTGTCCAAGATCAAGCTGACCAAGAGAAAGGGCGACTACGTTCACGCAGACGGTACCGGCAACGTTGGCTGGCAGGACCTGGCCGTGGAGGAGCAAGAAAAATGGAATCAGACGACAATGCACACCTCACGCGCGGTCTTCTCAGGTGAAACCACATACGAGCCGTGGCGCGATATCCCTTGCTCCTACATCATCTGCGAGCAGGACCAGGCTCTACCGCCAGCTATCCAGGAGTTCTTTGCCTCGAAAATGGGCGGGCCTGATACTACCCACCGCTTGCCGAGCTCGCATTCGCCGTTCTTGAGTATGCCCGATCGTCTGGTAGATGTTCTGGAAGAAATAGTGAAGGTGTAATATGTATAATCAGATTGGGGTATGAAGGATCTCAGTCGATCTTGGGAGAAGTGAGTATCAGAGAAGAAATGTATGTTTTAAGCGTAACCGAACTCCGGGCCATGCCAGCATGTAAACAGCGAATCCAAATACCCTTTTTACAGGCCTCGGGTCTTCTCTGGATCCATCTGCACTTCGTTTCCACTGATTTCCTTGACCGACTGGTATGCTGGTTGTCCAGCATATAGCTGTCCCCCAGACGAGTTACTGGGTTTCCCTCCATCCATCTCCTTGGATACCGAGATGGGTTGATTGCCACGGAAGCGCTTGCGCATATCGATCATACCACGCCTGTGCCGAGAGAAATTCCAATAATTAGCAAGGATGTTCCTTTTGTCCATAATGGTCGACCTATAGGCTTCAAGCTCGGTTCCCGACTCACTTGCACTCGCTGAATCCTTTCCGCAGCTGCTGGCATTTCATGGGCAACTCTTCGGCAAGAGGAGAACTGAGACATTCACGGGGCGAATGACGTTGGACCATTATGCAGTCCGACTCCTGGAGGCATTGAGCCAAAGCCTTCCCTAGATAAGCAATTTGTGGTCAGTCTGCGTTATGGCAATAGAGGGTTGCGGTAGAAGGTCCAGTTGGGTCAAGAACCTGACCCTCCCTCAAACGGTTGTGCGACTGGGGAGGTGTAACATACGGATATCATTGCATGAACTGGGCATGTTGACGCGACCTTGTGGACAAATGCGCAACCACAAGCAGCAAGAAAGCAAAAGAACGAGGCCGTGGTCCCACGGCAAACTCGGGCTGTCAGTCATCTCGATGCTGATTGGTGGATGTGGATAATCCCCGGATGAGATAAGCATCACTATCACATGTCGGTAATGACGTCGGGGGACTTTCATGGGCTTGTTTTTGCTTTTGAACGTCTGCAGCATCTCTGTATCTTGCATAAATCTTCAATTGTACCTGCACATATGCATAGAAATTGCTGTTAATTATGGCGCGAGTTCCGTTCATCGGGAGACTGTTCTGGTAAGGAGCTCCAAGCCTCAGACAAACAACATAGCAACTGACCTTCATGTCTCTAGGTTTGAGTACCTAGCTCTCTTCGGGTCTTTGATTCTTGTTCTACTTGAGACAACCATTCACTTGATTACTTGGTGCCTTCGTCAGTGAAAATCACCGAACAAGGGATAATACCAATACTAACCCCTAACCAGCAAGCCCTATCATTAAGTTTTGTTATAGCCAATCCAAGGCACTTTTCAACCTTTTGATCCCTAATGAATCCCGCTCAAAACGCACAAAAGAGGAGATATTTGCCAGCTCTGTTGCAGACGCGTCCGATTTCACCGAGATATGTGCCCTATTCGGGTATCAAGCCGAGGAGCACATTGTACAAACCAACGATGGCTACCTTCTTGGACTTCACCGGCTGGCATATAGAAAAGGAGAAGAAAACATGAATGTGAATCAGGGTCCCAATGGGCTTCGGAAAAAGGTCGTCTACCTCCACCATGGTCTGCTCATGTCAAGTGAGGTGTGGGTAGCCTTAACAGACGAGCAGCGGTGCTTACCCTTCCAGCTGGTGGAAAGGGGATACGATGTATGGCTGGGAAATAACCGTGGAAATAAATACTCCAAGAAGTCGATCCGATTCTCGCCTGGTTCCAATGAATTTTGGGATTTCTCTATCGATCAGTTCGCCTTCTCCGATATCCCGAACAGCATCGAGTATATCCTCGAGGTAACAAACCAGCCGTCATTGTCTTACATTGGATTCTCCCAGGGGACAGCGCAGGCATTCGCTACACTCGCTATTCATCCATTGCTCAACCAGAAGATTGATGTGTTTGTGGCACTTGCACCAGCCATGGCTCCTTCGGGTCTTCGCAACCGCATTGTTGATTCACTGATGAAGGCCTCCCCGGACTTTTTGTTCCTGTTGTTTGGTCGACGCAGCATCCTCTCGTCGACCACCATGTGGCAAACAATACTTTACCCGCCAATCTTTGTACGCATCATTGACACAGCCCTACAAGCCCTCTTCAACTGGAAGTGTCGCAACATCAAACAAACACAAAAGCTTGCTGCCTATTTGCATCTCTATTCCTTCACCAGCACCAAGTCTGTCGTGCATTGGTTCCAAATTATCCGGAATAAAAACTTCCAGTTCTACGATGATGAAATATATGCCCCCTTCAGCGTAGCTGCCAGCGAGCGCTTTTACAAGCCGGTCAAATACCCTACTCGCAACATCAAGACTCCCATTGTCCTCCTGTACGGCGACAGTGACAGTCTCGTCGATATCGGAGTGATGCTGAAAGGGTTGCCACATGACACTGTCGCCCAGGCGATTCCCACCTACGAGCATCTAGACTTTTTGTGGGCCTCCGACGTTGACCGCCAAGTCTTCGGTTATGTGTTTAATGCGCTGGAGGCTTATAGCCGGGGTGACCCGCTGGCTGCCAGCGGTACAGGGTCTGGGAAACACAGATTTTTAACCGACGGTCGTGTTTCCAATACATCGGCTGCCCGAAAAACCTACGTCTTCCCCAATGATGTCGCTTACGGGGCCACTCCCTGAACGTTACTATGTGTATCTTTACATGTACAACATCCAACATGCAAATTTTCCTGTGGATTTGTGAGCGGGGTTATGGCTTGGCGGATCAATCGCCACATCCGTCCACGGGTGTACGGAGTTGAAGGGATTATAGGGTATGTACATACATTTTTATGGTACCGATTCATGAAAATATGTGTCTAGTGTGGACAGATTGCACCTATCAGAGCTTGGCACGATGGATGCCGGCAGAGTTTTCTAAGTACCCCGTTGTCGAAGTAAATCCACCGATGTGGCGCCAAGAGGGGGAAAAGTCCCGAAGAGGTCTGTGCCTGATTTATGGAGGTACCTACGTACTACAACTCCGTAGAGTACCTGACTAGAGAAGCACAATCAAACTATGTTGTATGTAACCCAAATCTCGTATCCACAGTCTAGACATGCTGGGCACCCAAACAAAGTATGGCACTAGGGCAAAAGTGATAATCTGTCCTCCTTCCCAACTTGTTTCGGCCTAAGAGATAAGCTTTGATTAAATCAAATTAAGTCGATCTTGCTGGAGAACTCGAGGAGATCTTTTATATTGATCTTATATTGTCAAAAAGGTACAAAAGATGATATTCAGGGGCATGGTGCGGGATGTCAAACAGGTGGCGTAATTCATAAGCCCAATTAAAAAATAAAGAAAAAGAACCAAAGGCGCAGTTCAAAACTTTTTGTCCGAGTTCTCTGTGGGTTATGATTCGATCTAGACCAGGCGCCCATCTCCACAGTAGAGGCTAGTGTTGGCGAACAAGTCACAACGAACAGCTAAGAATTGAAAAAAACGGAAACCAAAAAACAAAAACTTAAATTCGTGGTTCAGGAACGACGCCACCCATGGAAACACGTTGGCAAGTCCCATTTGGGTTGGTCGAACCAGATCTCTGTTCCTGACCCTAATGGTAGTCACCAATGGGATTATTAGGATTGTCCCCGTCTAGTCAGGCACCGACCACATGGATACACATGGTCAACCCAATTTTATGGTTCAATGGGTTCAATGTGTTCGACGGCCTATCAAACGCCTGCCACACCAAAATCTGACACGCCCAATGCCCTATGCCTACGTACTCCACCCCAAAGAATAAAATGGCGCTATACCCTCCTCCTTCTCCTCTTTCTTTCTCTCCTTTGACATCACGATCCTTCGAATCACACTCATTTAGATTCAGTCCTTGGGGCAGCGCCTCATACCAACACTCTCTTTAACAGTCTGTAGATCAGACTAAAGTCCCTCTTTCAAAGGAAATCACAGTCATCCACACACTTTCCCTTCAATATCGGATTTCAATTCAGCCAACATGCGCTTCAACGTTATCGGCCTCTCGGCCCTTCTGGCAATGACTGCCTCCGCCCTCCCCGTCGCCGTTCCCGATGTTCAATACGTCAAGGAGATCGTCTGGGAGACTGTCTATGAAACCGTCTACCAGACCCCCGCTGCTATCAGTGCTCCTACCAACCTCGTCGAGGCGGTCGCCATTCCTTCCACCACTTCTGTCCCTTCCTCGACCTGGACCCCTGTTGTCCCTAGCTCGACCGTCGTCCCGACTCTGAGCGTCCCCACCGTCCTGCCAACCACTACCAGCGCTCCTTCAACCTTCTCCAGCGCCGCATCCAGCACCACTGTCACCCCGTCCAGCACCAGCAGCAGTGCCACCGCCACCGGCAGCGGTATCTCCATTGTCAACAACCTCTCCCAAACCGTCTACCTGTGGGTCGTGACCGAGACCGCCGGTGAAATGCAGACCCTCTCATCCGGCGAGACCTTCCACGACACCTGGCTCACCAACACCAACGGCGGCGGTATCTCCATCAAGATGTCCACCACCGAGGTCTGCGACGACGTTCTCCAGTTCGAGTACACCCAGTCCGGTGACGTCCTCTACTGGGATATGTCTTCCATCAACCTGCTCAAGACCTCTGCCTTCGTCTCCGCCGGATTCGGCGTCACTATCAGCGACGAGTCCTGCACCACCTCCACCTGTGCTCCTGGTGATGCCGACTGCGTCGAGTCCTACCAGCAACCTGATGATGTCAACACCTTGGCTTGCGCTCTCGATGCCGCTTACACTCTGACTCTCGGTTAGAGTGCTGCTTGGGTCTTGATTCTAGGTGTTTAGTTGGATATACCTTTTGGTTATGGGGGGAGTTTCATGCTGAACAAATTGCAAAGTACAAATTACGAAGCACAAATTCAGATTTCTTTTTAGATACCGTTTTTTTATAGATTTAGAATGAAAATTAGAAAATTCTCAAAACTTATTCGGGGTACACAAGTTGAGCATTTTGTAGACTGACCTTACCAAATGCCTTTCATGGCCCAATTCGATACATTCACATGTCATCACATGCGAACGAGCATTAGACCTACAATGTTGTACAATAAATGAGGTCGAACAACAATTCATCCAAAAGCCTTGGCCCCCAACTGAGGGGCAATTGGCCCCCGAACACGCACATGCTTGCTACACAGGGAGTATCCAACACTTTTCAAAGTGATCAAGGCCACATTAACCTTCTAAGATAAAGCAGACAATAGACATGGGTATTAAACAAAAATTGAATTAGAATAGAATATCAACATGATACAAATCCAGACCCCTTTAGGGCTGAACTAGGGCTGATCAGCAATCTAATCTCCAGTCTTCAATCCAAAAATTACCCAAACGAGAGACATATCCATAGCATGCTCAGAGCGACTATATACATGAAATACAATCTAGTACACAGGCACCTTGAAAGCAGGGAAAGAGTAAGTCCAGCTCTCAATGGAAGCCCTATCATCAACACACTGGAAGGTGCTGTTACTCTTCCAGAGGGGACGAGTAGGCCACTGGCAAAGCATCTGCGTCTCACCCTCATAAGTACCAGACGAGACAGTCGCATTCAAACGAGAAGGCTTGATATCCTTCTCAACCCAGTTGATCATAGTCTGCATATTGTCCTCCGGGTACGGGCCAGGCTGAAGGGAGTTTGTGCCGCAGTGCGCAGCACCGGGGATGAGGTAGAACTGGTACCAATCGGCGAGTTCCTTGAGACTATCCTGCGAGGACAGATGCGGGTACATGATCGAGCGGACGGATTGCCAGTAATGCACCGAAGACGCAGCGGGGATACTTGGGTCGGATTCACCGTGGTAGTGCAACAGCTTTCCGCCGGAGGATTGGAATGGGGTCAGGTCGGGCAGGGTAGTTTGCAGACTGTCCATGTAGCGAACCATTCCGGTGTTCATCCAGTCGACGAGGGTATCGTAGGTGACGTTGTTGAGATCGGAGAGGTTGGAGAGATCGAGGAGCTGGACGAACTTGGTCACATACTCGCCACCGGTCGAGGGGATGTTGAGCTCCCACTTGCTGGTCTCGTTGTTCCATGTCGTGTCGCCATCGCTGAGCTCAGAGCCGATTTGCCAGGATAGGTAAGCGCGCTCGCCCTTCGAGTTGTGGAGGCCGTCGTAGATGGCTTGCGCGACTTTCACGCCCTCGGCGGTGACCTTGCCGCTCTGTTCGGGGGTGGTGGAAGTGCTGCTACCGTCGGCGCGCTTGCTGAAGCCGAAACCTAGGGAGGTGCTAGTTGCTGCTGCGCAGTAGTATTTCTCGCCGATGATGGAGCTCAGGTTGAAGTTGATCTTGCAGAGGTCGGTGCGGGAGATGACACCGTCGGTTCGGCCATCGAGGGGATCACAGGCGGCGATGGTGGCGTTGACAATCTTAGCTAGCTCGCAGGGAGGGGGGTAGTAGTCAAGGGTTTGTTCGGCTGTGGCTGGGAAAACGTGGTGGACTTGCTGTTGGGCGAAACGGAAGGCTGGGGCTCCGGTGATCGCTCCGTCATACTCCTCTCCGTAGCGCTGGATTTGGCTCATACCCTCACGGCCACCGTCAGAGCAGCCTTCGTAGTAGGTGTAGACCTTGGCGGAGGAAGACATTCCGTAGAAACCCCTAGTGAGAACCTTTCCAATCTTGGTCATTTCACCTAGAGCTTGGTATCCGAACATGTAGGTTGCATCCCAGTTGATGGTTCCGTTGCCGTAGAGGACCACATCGTCGTAGCTGTAGTTGAAGGCATCATAGCCTGCGCTGGTGGCACCACTGACAGCACCATACTCGAGACCACCCGTTGCATCGCTGGACAGAGAGAAGCCACCACCACCGGCGACATAGAAGCGCTTCTTGAAGTCAGAAGGCTTAGGGAAGGCATACTTGATGACGACAGAGTCTCCCTTTCCAGTGTGCTCGTAGGTGACGGTCACATTGCAGTAGGTGTATGTCTCGGTGCTCCCCATACCAGCGCTGGCATTGTAGACAGCACTGGCAGTCACGGCAGAGGGGATCATGTTGATACCCAGCAGAGTGCCATTGGAGGGCAAGGCAGACCGCACATTCGAGACGGTACAGACATCAGCAAGCGAAGCAGCGCTTGCCGATGCTGCCAGGGTTGCAACAGATGCACCCCAGGAGAGACGCATGTTGAAGTATAATAGATAAATATAAAATGGAACGAATGAGTGTCAAGAAGAGAATATGAAAAATGTGAAGACCTAGAGCCTACAAGATTGATAGGAACGGTAGGGGCAAGGCTGTACTTAAGAGATCTTTATGTACGTAGTATTTCATATTATGAGGGCTCCAGTTTCTGGCAACTAAAGTGCAGATCATGCGTTGTCCCGCTGCGTTGCCTGCAATTAAACCATGAAACCACATCGGGAATCGGGGATCACAGTGTCGGCGTGGATACTTAGTCGTCGTCATCCAACGCCTACTGCAAGGCACAGTTCAGAACGTGAAGGGAAACGGGTCCTGCGTAGCCTAACCTGTATTAAGTTCAATTCAACCTTCCAAATTAAGGGTTACGGAGTAAATTATTTCCTCAGGGAGACTGGTTGACCAATAATCTGGCCAGGAGGTCCCTAGCTTATTTTAAGTTTGATATGGCCGGGTAAAGTTTACTCCCTTATACTCAAAATCTAACCCTAAAACCCATCCACAGTCTGACGATCGCGTCATTCCCAGATACATACCTAGGTAGGTACGCGTGGCACGACCTTGGGATCCGGGAAGTTTCAGCCTCATGGTGGATAAACTTTGGTGATAAAGCTATAATTGACTTGCTGAATATGAATATTCCATCAAAGGCTGGACTGCAAGATTGTCCGCTTCAATCTTTTTCCACTACCTTGGTTTTGCCACTTATTCGGAAACATTAACATCCAGCCCATTTTATTTAGTGGCCTTTCATAATACGCGGACTGTGTTGAATATCTGCTCCTCCTCCTCCTCCTCCCGTCGGATAGCCATCGGGGCAATCCAGCACACCGAATATTCCGTCGGAGCAAGAAGTAGGAGTTACACCACGCTACTATCTGAGTCAAGGGGATAAAGCTTTGTAGTGACCCCATATCAAATAACATCCAAGACACCAAACGTTATCAAATCAAGAGTTCTCAAAGCAAACTGTCTGCTATCAATGTGGGTTATTTCAGGAAACTATATGGCTCCATAAATGAAACTACCTCGAATCGACCTAGTTGCTTGGCAAGTATGAGAAATGAAAGTATAGCTCTTTAGGATTTGGGAGAAGAAAATACCAAACAAACAAACTTGCATTTTCGCACGTATAGACGTAAATACACCATGAGCTATTATATCATTTGACCTTAACCACCATCTTTCTATGTCCCTCTTTATTCTCCATCAAACGGTGAGCCTGTTGGATCTCCTCAAAACGGAAGACTTCCCAAGGATCCGCATTAAATTTCTTTCGCGCCACCATAGCGACTATCTCGGAAGGGGAACATCCGACAAAGGAAACTCAGGGGTTCCAAAGACAAAGCTCCCGAAGAAGCTAAAGTGGACACCGCTTGCCATCTGCAGAAGAGGATTAAAGTCCAGAATGGGCGCAAGTCCACCCAAGAATCCAGCCAGACAGACCCGTCCTCCTCTGCGTGCCATCCAAAGTAAATCAACAACAGTGATGTTACCAATAAGTTCTAGAATATCATCAAACTTATCAGAAATACGTTCGGAGAGCTGTGGTCCTTCTATCAATACCTCCCAAACCCGAAGAGCCTCGAGCTGGGATATACGCTTCTCCGTTCGGGTTGTTGCGGTAACATAAACTCCAGCTTGAACAGCTAGACTAATCGCAGCTCTCCCCAAAGAAGAAGTACCACCACGAACCAGAAGCCGTTGACCAGCTGATATCTTCAGGCTTCAAAAGAGACAGGCCCACGCCATACCATATGATTCTGGGATGGTAGCCAGCTAGTCCCACCGTAGTTCTTCTGCAGCTGGTCCAAGTGCAACGACATTCGAGGCCTTGGCTCGGGTATACTAAGCGTAGCTACCGTCAATTTTACGTCCAAGGCCGCCCATGAGACTTGCGACAGGAGTCCCTTCTTTAAATTCTCCTCCTGGACAGCTAGATACTGTGCCCACACACTCAATGTCGCTGATTGGCATCTATTCGGCCCATTCTGCTTTTCGCATGTGCATTTCCGCATGGTTGATATCAAAGGCTTTGATGTGTATTACGACCTCTTATTGCTTTGGCTCCGGGGTAGCGCATCTTTGATGACTAGGGACTCGAATCCGCAAAACTTTTCGATGACAATTGCCTTCATGGTGGATTGTGGCAGGCACTTATTAATTCTAAAGAATTGGATTTGAGATCCTACAACAGATAAGGGTTGACTCTGGGTGTTCCAAGATAGAATCAGTATGACGTTATTGTTTGTTCGCTCTAGTATCGACTGTTTATCTTCGTCTAACCCTTGTGCTCCTATGCTTCTATGTTTTTACGATTAGAAATAGGCACACTCCCCTCCATAGATGTTGCCAGAAGTTCCACTTGTACGGCTATCACTCATACCCATACCACCCTCCTCACATCAAAGCCCCCCCTTCTCAGTTCTCCAAGAAAGCACATATCCCCGCTGATTACTCAGAACCCTAATCCCCTTCTCTTTAAATTCAGTCGTATAATGTGTATGCCCAAATACCCAAACCTTAACTCCATCCCAAGACTGCTCCAAAAGATCCGTTCCAAAAGCACAACTCTATAAATTCTTAGCGTGCTGCGGACTCGAAGTGCGCTGCAGGAATGGTGCATGATGCGTCACCACCAGGACAGACCGCTTTTCCTGGGAAGTCTCCCGAAGAGTTTGGATCTCACCCCTTAACCAGGTCAGGTCGGACTCGTGAGTTTTATTGTGTTGTTCCACAGACCACCCTTTGATCTTTTGGAAATAGGAGATTTTGGAATGGACTATATCTGTTGATTCTTGGGGGATTTGGGACCAAAGTGTGCAACCTAGGAGTGTCACGCCTGAGTCCGGGATGTCTCGTATCGTTGGTGGAGTATTACAAGTCGACCATTCATACAAGGTTCTTTTTCGACTTGTTTTACTTTTTCAAGGCCTGAATTGAAGGTTGTCTCGTAAAATTCGTGGTTTCCAAGGGCCAAAAACACGATCTCAAATTTGGATGTTTGGTTTTGTAGGAAGTCACGGTAGTGGTTGTAATCTTCTAGACGGCCAATGTCGCCTGCCAGGATAAGGTATTTAGAGCAAACAGGGGTTCCAAAGGAATATTGTTGATTGATTTCCGGGTGTAGGTCAGATAGAACCTAGAATGAGCTAGAGAAGGGCCCTTTAAAAAGGGACCGAATCGTCTGTAGTGCCATTTTGAGTAATATTAAGACGAACCCCCAAGTAACCCAAGCTGATACATACACTAGCATTCGTGGCTATCGGGAGATCAGAAACAAAGCTCAGACCGATCATGTGATATCCTGGCCATATGTATTCAAGAGATTGGATTAGTCCCATCCTCAACCCCCCATCTACGCCATATAAGCACCACCAGAGACCTGCCAAGTCTGTCCAGTCAACCACTGCGAATCAGGACTAGCAATCAAAGCCGCAACCCCAGCAACATCCTCAACCTCCCCAGGCCGACCCAACGGAGACCACTTGCTCAACGCCTCATCGATCTGCTGAGGACTCATCTTATCACCACCGGGGATATACTTAGCCGACATCTCAGTATACATATCAGTCTTGACACCACCAGCAGCAATGCAGTTGACCGTGATGTTTCGCGGACCGAAATCCATTGCAAGACACTTGGTCATACCCTGTACAGCGGCTTTGGAAGCAGCATAGACAGCATGACGAGGGACGCCCTAAATCATATCAGAAGTTGTCAGTTCCGGTGTAGAAAAACAACCCCAACAAACCACTCAAACCCCCAGAGCCGAAGTTCTTACCTTCACAGCCGAAATCGACGAAGTCAACATAACCCGCCCATAATCCTCCATGAAACGATAAGCCTGTTGAGCAACGAAATATTGTCCCTTGACATTAACCGCAAAGATGGCATCGATATCGCTACCCTTGACCTCAGAGAGAGCCCCGAAATGCTCGATGCCCGAGTTACTGACTGCGATGTCGAGACGGCCGAATTCACGATGCACAGTCTCGAACATTGTTTTTACCTCTTCTTCCTGTGAGACATCGGCTTTGATGGCGAGGGCGCGCACGCCTAGAGCTCGGATCTGCTCGACGACGGACTCGGCCGCTGTGGCATTGGAGACATAGTTTATGGCTACGTCTGCTCCACGGTGGGCGAATTTGAGGGCTATGGCGGCGCCGATGCCACGACTGGAGCCTGTGACTGTTGTTTTCTATTAGTGTGTTGGCTTGGAAGGGTGGTGTGTGAACTTTACTTATTGCAACTTTGCCGGTTAGTTCTTTGTTTGTAGACATAGTTGTAGGGTGAGGATTAGGTGGGGAAGTGGTCTCTACATCTACATACCAACAGGGAGTGCTGTCTCTTATACCTTGCGTTGTTCTATAATCTCAAAGATCGGTGAGCATCTGCATGCATATTAGGTGTCCAGGGGTCCACGCGTACAAACCGAATTTGAATTGACAACAGATGTCTTCGAATTGTAAAAGTGTTGGGAGAGATAATTTTTTGAAACAAAGTACAGGGTTCAAATCGATTCGAATTGTTCCTAACTTGCAGGTACATACTCATCAAATACAAGGGGTGGTCTTTGCACAAAACGGAATCTTGTCGCAGTCAAGACAACGCACCCAGGGAAATCAATCGCTTGGAACAATACAGCGCCATCCTCCCCAAGTCCATCCGCGATTTAAAAAAAAACAAAACATTCACGGGAAACAAACGCCTTTCCTAGATGGCACAGAAGTTGGAGGGGGGGGAAGAACTATTTTCGGATTACACATGACAAGAAGAAAGCACGAGCAACATGAAAAGAAGTTGCAGGCGCAATATGAAGCGTGGGGTGCTTTAATTAGGTTATCAGGCCCCACAATGTTGAACAATTCATTCTCCCATGCCGTACTCAGCGCCGTTTGAAGCGCTAGGGCTATCCCGGTTGGGATTGTTGAAAGTGAGCTTTAGCTTTGGCTGACCTGGCGTGCCAGCAGTAAGCGGAGTGTCAGCACCCGAGGCAAACTCGGTCGAGCCATCACCGCCTTGATCCTCAAAGTTGGCAAGCTCAGGGTGGTCCTCGGTCAGTCGTCGCAATTCCACCAAGCATTTAGTCTATTATTATCATTAGTATATAATAATTAATAATCAATCATAATTCAAAACTTACCTCGATGTCATTGGCATCCTGGAATAGCACACTACCATCCTCGTTGTAAGTGCGGGCATTCTGACAAAGCAAGTGGATGTCGTTGCGGAATTCTCTCAGGCTCTGGTAATCGGCCCGTTTGACCTTCTTCTGGATCGCATCCATAGCAATGGGATTTTGAATGATCATGTAGTAGTCGGGATAATAAGAACGTGGCGGGGGCTTCATGAATGGCTCGATAATTGAACGGACCATGGGGCCCTCTTCACTATCAGAGCCCTCCGGTTGCACCTCAGCCTCCATGTCCATCAATGACTGGATCACGGTGTCGAGAATGCGAGTCAAGTTGGCACGGTCAGTGGGGTTCAGAGTATCTGGAACCTTGGGCTGACGGCCTCTCTTGCGCTTAGGCTGTGGGGTTTCTTCCACAACTTCCTCGGCCTTGCGCTTGGGGGGAGGACCCCGGCGGCGCTTCTGCTTTTGAGGAGTCTCGTCATCATCAATAATCGATGGCTCGGGCTCGGGTGAAGAGTCATCTGCTTCACGTCCAGCCTTGTTAGACTTGCGACGCTCAACGCGAGCTTCCTTGCGTGCAATCGCATCTTCGATAGTGTCGTCATCGGCGTCCACTGCCATCAGCCACTGCTCTTCGGTAAGACCATCATCGTACTTGGTCACCTTACGCTCACGAGCACCACGGCCAGTGACCTCAATCTCGACTTCTTCGGTGACAGGGTTATCCTCCTGCATATAAATTTCGGGCAGTTCTTGTTCGGACATCAGTCGAGGGTAGCGGTGGCCAGGACCATATTGGTCGTTGGCGATTCGCTGCCTGTCTATCTCCTGGAAGATAGGGATTTCTTCTTCGGATCGTGCCATAATTTCGTTGAGTTCGTCATCATCCATTTCGTCGTGATCACCGATCTGTTCCGCAGCCTCTGCCGTGTCCAGGAGGGTTCGGAGAAGTGCATCTCGCTCTTCATTGGTAGACTTGTTATCGAACTTTCCGGCCTGGATAACCTTGCCATCCATGTCCAACTTGAACTGTGCACGCTCAAGAATCTTCTCTTCGACCGAGTTGGAACTGATAAGCCGCAAAATGCGGACCTCGTTCTTCTGACCAATACGATGGGCACGATCCTGGGCTTGCAAATCTTGGTGGGGGTTCCAATCCGAATCATAGATAATAACGGTGTCTGCAGTCTGCAAGTTGAGACCAAGACCACCTGCACGGGTGGAAAGCAGGAAGCAGAAGTATTCAGACCCAGGAGCATTGAACTGCCTCAGGAGGTCCGATCGGTCGTCGGACTTGGTAGATCCGTCCAGACGGAGGTACTTCATCCCGCGAAGGCGAAGGAAATCCTCCATGATGTTCATGATCTGAGTCATCTGGAAGAACATCAAGACTCTGTGGCCCGTGGCACGGAACTTGGGGAGAACACGATCAAGCAGCTCAAACTTTCCAGCCGTACGCCAAAGGAGGTCATTGGACATGCGAGTGGGGTTCATTTGGTCTTCAACAGGCTCAAAGACAAAAGGATGGTTGCAGAGCTTTCGCAACTGCATAAGCATGTTGCTGAGACCACGCATTCCAGTCTTGCCGCCCTTGCCATCTGTGACAGCCATCTTGTTGTGGGTAACAAGTTGCTTGTACAACTTGGCCTGCAAGGCAGAGAATCGGCACTTGATGACACGCTCCTGCTTGTCGGGCAAATCTTTCTCGACATCCTTCTTCAAACGTCTGAGAAGGAATGGCCGAAGAACCTTGTGAAGACGACGAATAACGAGAAGTTGCTCTTCTTCGCTCAAATCCATACGGTCCTGGCCACCGGTATTTGCGAAAGGTGTGTTGAACCATTCGTCAAAGGACTTGACGGACTTGAAAATGTTGGGAAGGACGAAGTTGAGAAGGGCCCATAGTTCGGGCAAGTTGTTTTGCAGGGGAGTACCGGTCAAAATGAGACGGTATCGACTGGTGTAGTAGGTGGAAAGGGTGCTGCTAAGCTTGGACTGGGTGTTCTTCATGCGGTGACCTTCGTCGACAATCATGTGTGTCCACTTGATCTTACTGAGAACCGGACGGTCCTTGATGATGTACTCGTAGGTGGTAAGGAGAACCTGGAAGTTGCCCCAGCGGATCTGCTGCTGTTGCTGCTTTCGTGCATTAGGCGGGCCCTTGTAGACTACCTTGCTCACACTGGGCGCCCACTTATCGAACTCGTTGTTCCAATTAGTGAGCGTGGAAAGTGGAACAATGACCAAGAAAGGCCCATTGTTCTTCTTCTTTTCAATGATGTGGGTAATCAAACTGATGGTCTGGATGGTTTTTCCAAGACCCATCTCGTCAGCCAAAATACCGTTCAGGTTATTGTTGTACAGTGAAATCATCCATTGCAGGCCCTTGATCTGATACTCCTTGAGAGTACCTCCCACGAGTATGTCAGGCTGGCTGGTGACTTCTTCGTTGATGCGATGAGCGACGGCGTAGTAGTCGACCTTCTTCTTTCCAGTGGCGGTGTTGCTGCCTTCTTCGTCTTCGCTATCAGCGAGCTCTTGGTCAGATTCCTCGTCGTAATCATGCGCCTCGCCATAACGATTCGCCAGGTTGCGCTGTTGTTCCTTGACGGATGCGGCAAGCTGCTTAAGGAAATTATCGGTCTGCTTGAGCAGATGAGAGATACGCGAATCCTTGGCCTGTCCCAAAAGTTTCAGGTATGTCTCCTCATCGTTGGCCTTCAAAGCCTGCAGACGTTGCTTGGCGGTTCGCTCCACGCGCCTCTGCTCTTCGCGTTCCATGTGCTGGTGGTGTGAAATCATCATGCGACCCAGCTTCTGCGAGCGCGTACGTTGCTGGACAGAAGCATTGGCGAGATCGGCGCTGTGGTTGAGAATGGCTTGCAGCTGATCGTACTGCTTCTTCTTCTCTCGAGATTCGCGAGCATCACGTTGTTGCTTCTCGAGCTTCTCGGTGATACGAGCCTCACGCAGTGACTGCTTCTTCATGCGACGGTGACTTGAGCGATTTGCCGTCATTCCCAGGTTACTGTAGTGGAACATCTCGCTCTGGAGCTGCTTGCGATACTGTCGCTGTTTGGGTAAAAGATTAAGTGATTTATACTCAATCAGGGCCTTGAGCTTGAGGGAGTCATCATAAGTTGGTGCGTCAGTCTTGCTGGTATCCCATACACCAAGGTTGGCGGGAAGTTGGGCAAGCTCTGCTTTTCGGGCGGTGATTTTATTATACAGGATGATCTCACGATCCTCGCGCATCTGCTCCAAGTCGATACCAGGTGGCAAGAGAGCGGGGATGCGCACACGATTGGCGCGGTTGGCGTGATCAGTGTAGCTGATAGTCTTGGACAGCGAGTCGTATGGGGACTGGAAGTTGTCATACCACTCCCTAGTCATGACTTCGGCATCTGAGCTTTCTGAGGGCTGGGTAGCAGCGCTGTCATTAGCAGCTTCAATCACCTTTTCAGCTGCGGTAACATTGTCTGTGGGGGTAGGTGGTTGCGACTTCCTCTGGTTTTGGAAAAGCTGTTCTTGAACACGCGGGGGAATAGCGAGGTTCTTGGATAGCATCTTGAAAGCCAAGATTTGGTTTCGAAGGGTAGCCAATTGCTCTGGCGAAAAGCTACCACTTCCAACCGTCGCAGTCTTCTGGTTCAGAGCAACGGCCGATGCATTAATGGCAGCAGGTGCGGCAGTTGAGGAAGCCGAGGGTGTGCGACCTGTGAGAGTTTGGGTTAGCCCTGTAGAAGACCTTTAGAGGGAACCAGGAGAGTCAAGGATAAGGCTTACCATGAGAGCCATTGGCAGCTTCAGGAGTAGCGCCGTTCATCTGTTGCTGTTGGCGCTGCTGTTGTGCCTGCTGTTGTGCCTGCTGTTGTGCTTGCTGTTGAGCCATGCGTTGTTGTTTTTGAAAAGCCTGTTGCCGTTGAATAGCAGCAAGTAGGTTGTGGGCCTTGAGGAACTCCGGGTCATCAGGGCGAACACCTTGTTCTTGCATCTGCTTGTATTTCTGCGACAAAGTTAGAGCCGACGATAAAGACGAGCAAGACATAGGAAGGCGCGTTAAAGGATTGAAGAATTAATAGTAAGGCAATTTGTGCTGTTGTAATGCGACAAACTTACCTGGAGTATCTCTTGGACATTTTG